GCTGCTGCCGCCGCTGCTGCCGCTGCTACTTTTCCTACTGCAGCTGTTATCGCTACAGCTGCTACTGCTATTACTGTTGCTGCAGCCGCTACTGTTGCTGCTGCTTCTGCTATTGCAGCCGCTGTTGTTGCTGGGTTTTTTGGTTTTTTAAAACGTATTTTAAAGAAAAAATGAGACATGGAGAGAACAGTGATGATGTCAGTGTTGCTGCAGTTGCCAAGGTGTTTTTCATGTGGTGGTGCTGCGGAAGTGTTGGTTTTATGGTGTTGATGGGGCATAAAAGTATCGTTGAAAGTCAGACAGAATGGCGAGAAGCAAATACGATAACACAAATAGCGTTGACATGAATGTGACCCAACACTTTGAGTGTTAGTTCTTGATTGTTGTTAAAGTTTGTACTACCCTATATTATAGGCTATTTGAGAGGCGTTGGGCCTCTATATTATTACTATGAACTTCATTTATCTGCGTTTGTCAGTTCCCTTTAAATTGTCACCTGTCACCATGGCCGCGGGCGTTCGTTGCTGCCCCATTCCAGCCACAACAGGTCTCCTTCTTTCCCGGTCTCTGCTTTGATGCTCTATTTCATGAAACTGTAGACCACTATTTATTGGATTGTACGTTTTCAGTACATGATGTATGGGGCTTTCCCTTATTTCTTTTCTGCCTCTATTTTGCCTTGCAGAACAGCTGTTGCGGGGTCGGTATTAATATAATTTTTCTATTTGCGTGACCAAGGTGTTTGAGGCACTTTTTTGGTGATATGAAAAATCAAACTTATTCCCCAGCATTGAGGCTGAAGACAGACAAGGCAAAGGGCATGGCGCCGCTGGTTCCAAGCTGAAACGGAAGTCTTCAGTCGGTTCCCCGTCTGTTGCAAGGGCAACCAAGCATGACAGTGACTCATCAACTTCGAAAGCGAAAAAGAAAAGCGCGGAAGGCAAAATGGACGTTGGACGAAGCAACCTGGACATCTCCCGCACGTCTGCAAATTCGGGGGGAGAACATCATCGAGGGAAAGTTGGGAAGGGAGATAAAGCTTCAGAGAAAGCGAGGAAGTGTAGGAACGATTTAAAAGGAGAGGTGGGCAAGAAGGTGAAGAAAATCGAGAAGCAGACAGCGGTGAGTCCAGATTATGTTCTCAGATTGCACAATGTAGTTTGGCATGAGTTACTCACAAAGGAATTCATTTTAAAGATAAGAAAGGAGGGGGTGGTTTGTTTGTGGGTTTTTTTGTGTATGTGTGTGTGTGTGTTTGTGTGTGTGTGTGTGTTTGTGTGTGTGTTCGTGTGTGAAAAGGGTGAGGGGGGGGGGGGCTTTGGGATTTAAATTCTCTAAGTTTCATTGTTGTATGATAATTATTTCATAGTCAGGGTTAAGACTCATTGAATGCCCCTCCTATATGAATAGATTCTAGTAGGCTTCAACATCTTTTTAAAAAAACCTTTACAGAAAGGATATCAAGGTTAAAAAGGCAAGTTAACAGACTTTGTTGTTGTTAAATGTTTTATTTAAAAAATTGACGGAGAAAATTATGGGCTTAAATTTGTTTATATCAGGAATCGGGTATTTATGTGACAACTTTTCGTGGGTATCTCGTTAATCCACGCCCATTCAAGTCCTTGACAGTCTGCTCTGCTTGGAAACAATGTTTTCATACTTTCTTTGATACATAGACGCAGTCTTCTCCTCATCAAACAAGCGATACCGGAAGTGGGATGGATGACGACGAAGAGAGGAGAAAAGTCAAGGCCACTGGGAGTCCTCATAAAACTGGCGGCGGCAAAAAGTCAAAAGACAAAAGCAAAAAGTCAGAGGGGAGGGAAAATCAAAGGTAAAATGATTTTGATATGTTGCCACTCACCCTATCTTTGTTTTCCGTAGGAAACCTGGCGTCCGTGGTGAAAGGATCAATCCAGAGATTGCCAACCTGGCGGTATTTCCCACTAGTGGTCGATTTGGTAATTTTCGTGAGCGGCTAGGATCTCCCGGGTCTTATTCTATGCCTTGTTAGGAAATACTTGTAAGTTGGCGGTACGAAAATGTTAGCTTCTTAGAGATGGCAAAAGTGGGCTTGGCTATAAAAAGATTGACAAGCACTGGGTTAAACTCTTCATTATCATAAGCAGAAAAAGTAATCTTGATCTCTACTGACTATAATCGACTGCCCAGCTATCAAGGCTCAAAGAAAAGAAAACAGCAGGTGTCCATCGTACTATCACGAACATTATATGATGTAACAGTGAGGCTGTTGAATGCAAAGAAATGATAGAAATTATCTTTAAAAGACCAAAAACAAACCAATTATTTTCAATTCCTGCGCGTAGATGTTTATTTTATGAAGTAAATGTTTGTATACATCTACGTTTTCATACTGGAATACTGTAGCTTACTCTGCGCGAGTTGTGACCTTGTCAGGCTGGGCTGAAGCATCGCTTCCCCGAGTTAATCTAAATTGCACCCCTTGCTGTGCAACGTACTGCAATCACTACGATAACTTCAGTCATAAACCTCTCTATTTCTTAATGCAGGTCTTTTTACTGCCCTATTGACAGTCCAAATGATTTAGAAGGCGGGCTTCGACACTGCCTGTCAAGGCCAACCTGAGCTGAGAGGGGCGCAACGTCCCAGAAGACAGACCGAGATCATCGTCATCATCCAGTGCTAGATCTGCGACAGACATCGGCGATCATGGTTCTCAATTCATTCCTTTGCTCGGATGCTCTAAAAAAAAGCTACGTTTCCCTATTTTTTCCCTGTTACCCATTTATTTAGGTTCCCTAAGTATGTTCTTCTGGGCCTACCCCTGCCTCGCTTGCCCTCAATTTTGCCAGTGATACTCGATACAAATTCTCTCTACAAGGGAATCGAACTCAGGTCTTTTTCGAGCGACGACGACACGCCTAAACGCTTAGCGGTTTACATAGCTTGGTTGAGATTGCTTCTTTTCACCTATAACTGTATCTCGTCCACAGGTCGCCACACTCTAAATCAGGTGGTCACCACGGACGACATAACGACCGACACCACCGGCACAATCAAATCGACGAGGAGTTCTACGACGACGACTATGACGAAGACGACAACAACAGACGGACCAAGTCTCCACGCCACGGCTGGGCCACAGCCAAGGACCTCAAGAACGCGCTCGCCTTCATGTCGGAGACGGGGGAGGTTCGAACCGTGGTTCTGAAACCCGGGGATGACGGGCGAACACTCTACGTGGTTGATCCACAATAAAACGAAGTCTGCAGACATCCAACCCGCGTTTATTCAAATGTGTTTATTTTGTTTACTCTAAGTTGTTCACTGCCGGCCAGCATTATTTAATGTAGATGATTTTCCGCCTCTACTGATATAATTTAGGTACAGTATTTCATTTGGGAGGTGGGCTTCGATCATGCCTGTTGGGGCCAAAACAGGATTCATCATCCCATCAGAAAGACCGAGATACTCCAAAAAAATTCTTCCTTCCCGGGAATCGAACTCGGCCCCCTGTGTGCAATGGCGAAACACTATGCCTACATACCACAATTGTCGGTGGGTCAGTATGATGTTGGCCATACATAGAATATGATTTCAGTGGGAGTTTGCAATGCTGAGCACAGTAGACTCCTGGTTTCCACAGAGAAATTTTGGTGCAACAAAGAGAAGACTGGTTTCTCGTGTAAACTTCTTGGAGACTTTTATTACCATGAATCACAGTTAAGTGCGCAGGGTGAGGAAGATTCGAGGTTAACGTGTTATCACAAGGGGACAGCACTCAAACAAACATAGACAAGATGAAACAAGTCACCAGTAAAGGAACTCTAAAACAGCGGTGATGATAACTGTTTTAGAGTTCCTTAACTGGTTCTTCATTGATTCTTTTGCTCAAATAGTCTAAAAAGCTTTATTTTCCTTATCTTTACCAGTCACCCAACTGTTTAGACTATTCAATTTGGTTCGCCATTTAGTCGCCTCGTACGACACGCTAGCACCACGTCAGTCCTATTCTTCTCAATGCCGAAACTGCACGGCTACAACTCCTGCCTCGTTTGCCTTCGATTTGCCAGTGAGAGCTTGATGTTCAAGGCCTTTATATCTGTTTCAAGAGTTTCTGAAGCTGCATCTAAATTTGTTTTTTTCAGATTGTATTTATCAGGGTTTTTTTTCCAGCGAGCAGCCCCCGTGGTCTTCCTCAAGTACATCTCACTTGATTTCAGATTTCTTTTTGTCTCGAGACATTCTTAGTTCAGCAGTCCCATTAAACCACATTTCTGTTGCTTGTATTTTATGTACTACAACATTTAGATCAACCCGTCGCTTATTCTTCCGTTTCCACAAGAGTTGAAAAAAGAGTAGTAGAGAAGCTACAATATGTACTTGGGGGGG